ATTAAGAATTTTATAAACGGAATACTGCAGACCGATTGTAAATACTGTATATATGCAAATGTGCCTTATTCAAATATCTTAGATCGCGAGTTCAAAGGATTAATAGTTTAATTTTTCATAGCTGCGACGACTTGCAATTGTTTTGGAGTCTTTAACCGCTACCACAACGTGATAATTTTGTCAATTTCATGCACTCCAAAAATTAAATTCGTATGTAATGGCAAAGTAACGTTCCTAGTCGTTTTTAAACGGCCGACGACACCAGACCAAGAAGTCAATCGCTTTTGAAGATTCCACACGCAGACAAACCTGTTCCCCGGGCTTTAACAAACCTAAAGCTGTCGGTTTTCTAAATTATTGACCAAAAAGTGGGGGCTGAGCCCAGATTCCACGGACCTACTTGCGAAGCGAGCAAAAAAGCGCTTCTGGCGTGGTGAACGCCGTTTCTGTTTGTACAATTTCATTCTTAAAACCGAAAGTGAAACTAAAATTTCAAGTTCCTTTATTTCAAAGATTTCATAACTTCCAATAAAATACACAAATGTTACGTTTTCGGCTTTTACGATCAGCCATGTTGATCATCAGCAAAAAAAAAATCCCACTAAGATGGAGGCTTACCGCCAAGCAGACAGAAAAATTCTAATTTGAGAATCAAAAAATATCGTTTCTATTTGACGATAATTTATCATCCATTTATTTGGGGCCATTTAAGGCAACGCATGCTCCGTTAGAAGTTATATCTAACGCTGAAAATTACGAAAACAGAGTCAAGTCAGAGCTCCTTAAACAAAACTAAAGATGAAATGCCATCTTCAGTTTACCGCTTGGAAATTAACTCAAGGTACTAAACGTTCATAGTTCTCTGCATGCAACGCCCTGAAATATAACTCTTGTACGTCGGGAACCAAACGCTACTTACCTTAATTTAGTCCCTAAGCTATCAATTTCTTTGAAGAACTTGCAGAAGAGCTTTGTCAAGTCGTTACAATCGAAGGATAAGCAAGAACAAACTAGCAATATCAGTTTCCATTTTTTCCCCAAGAGACTTTGAATGAAAATTTTCGCAAGGAATATGATTACCGAGCGGGCAGAATCTCATAGCAAACAARAGTTCTTGCTAGCTAGCAATCTGTCCAAACGAAAAATCACTCCCTTTCTTCGGGACTGCTCAAGTTTACACCATTTTAGAGTGTAAAGAAAGAAAGAGACTCCTAAACAACAAATATAAGTAGGACAACTTTAAATGCAAGACTCTCTCTTTGCTTCGTAGAAAATGTCRAATCGTTCTAAGCTGACGTCAGTGGACACGTCATGGTTGCCATAGCACTCAATGCTATTATTATCGCCAAATAGAAACAGACCCAGAACACTAGCTTTAGACTACGACTAACGATATATTTTATTGTTTCACACAACATAAAATATAAAAATGTACAAAATATCGAGAGTGAAAAATATAGATTATTAATGAATACAATGGCCARGCTCATTTTAAACAAATAAGAATTATAAAGGAGATATATTCGTAAGAATGGTATAGGTTACCTAGAGTAAGTAAAAAACTGATCGAGCTAGGTAACAAGTCATAGGTCTGAGAGATGTTAGGGAATGCCT